AAGTGCAATTTATATGCTCACTTTAAAAGGCTGGAAAGTTCATCCCTTTTAGGGAGGGGTATAGTGGGTGGTTTTCCTGTCATATCATTTGTCATATCATACAAGTACTTTATAGTTTCACAACATGATTTTCATATATGTTTTCTCATTTTACACTCACCACAGTCCTATAAACTAATTAATTTTTCCACTTTACAGACTTGAAGAGATTAAGAAATTTAACCAAGGTCATCCACAGTCAGTAAGCAAGAGAGCTCAATTCAAACTGTGAAATCTCTGCTACAGAGACTTCAGATCCCAGGATATATAATCTCAGCAGACACCTGATTGTGAAATATTTTCTTTAACGTTATCTATTTTGTTTTTCACAATAATTTATCTTGGCTGCCATTTACATTTGTTGGTTTATTTTCTTTGGGGCATAGTTATTTTCATGTTGTGCTATGGGTTTGTTTGTTCATATCAAAATAAAGTGAGAATAGTATTACAAAACATGCTTTGAAAAACAGACTGCTTGAGGGTTTTTCCCCGTTTTATATAAGTGTATTCAGAGTCAGGAAAGAGTCTTTTACCATAATTACTTCTCATAACCAACATGGAATGGAGGGATGAAGGTTCAGACCAATATGAAGAATCTTAAAACTTTATATAGCTATACACACACACACACAAAGCAGTAGATATATGTATATACCTATTATTGTACATGTATATTAACATACACATCATACCAGGTATAGCCAGTATATCATTTAGTACACGATTCCTGACTTTGTAGGCCACCAAGTCACAGTGGCATCTCCCACAACCCCGGATGAAGGTGGGAAAAACTACCCAAAACTCTCCAATTCTGTTTTCCTTTCATCTTCCATCCAGTCATGCAGCCAGCAAAAGAGTTTTCTGCTACTCCATCTGTACCTAAATAGCAATGGTCTTTGGGAAAGCCCAATTAACAACCAATATTCAAATTTCATATACCATGAAGTCTGCCAGAAAAATAAAAGTATGACTTTAAGTAAAAAAAAAGACAGGAAGAAAGCCCTTACCAGAGCAGATGGGGGGGGGGGTGAGTTTCTTATAAATGACTGCCAAACCAAAACAAATTTTTATGGAGCAATAGGACTACTCAAGTAGCCACTTTTATGACAATAAACACCCCAAACCAAAATCCCTTTGTAACATAATTACTGAGAATATATAGAGAAAGTAACCATTTAATCCACAGCATGTGTGCTCTACCACAGAACTCAGAGGCTGACATCAGATGGGTGTGGCTGGTCTAGGCCCCTAACATGAATTGAAGTCAGACAGTTCTCTGGAATAGTTTGGGATTCAGAAACTAGGCAGGTCTTTCAGAGCCTAAGGCAGCTGACCTTCTGGCCACAGGGCGAGGCCCATCTGTTTTCTTGCATTTTGATTTTGGGAGAGGTACTTGTGGTGGATGAGTTAAGGCTGTGGTTGTAGGGTGTAGCCAGTTATTTCAATTTAATATTTTTATCCTTACATTTTGTACATACTCAAGCTGTGCATAACTCTATAGGCTAAAAAAAAAAATAAAAATGAATTAAAAAGAGAAATAAAATGATAATTGTAGAAAAATACAGATATTTCCACTCTTTTTGTATTTCCACTCTTATCATATGGTATTTTTTATACTATAAATGATAAATGTAAGCAATTGCAACCTATGTTAGGAATTACTAACAAAAATGAAAGTTATTTTATTTTTTTTTTTTAGAAAAGAGAACTGGTATCGCTTCTGATAAAACTATTTGGGGACTTTTAGTTCTTGTTCATAAATCAACATGGAAGCACAAGTTGGGAAACTTATTTATCCAAAGTAACAATAATAATTATAATAATCACCTTCCAAATGAGCTTGTGCCACTTCTAGCAGTGTAGACTACAAAACAGAAAAAAATCATAGTGACATACCTGATTTTTAATTTGATTATTCTAAGGTTATTTAACTCACATAAATACTAAAATTCCACATCTGGCAATACACAAAATATCCCAGACCGTTACATATTCAACTCATTAACGTCATCACCTCACTGGTAAGGTTACTCAATAGTCCATATTATCCAACACTTGCTTGAATTCAAAATGCCTTCAATATAGCTCTGAAGGTCTAGGCACTTATGCCATCTAGGCAGAGATAAAAATATTGCTATATTTACAACCAAATGGCTTCAATAAGTTGGTAACAGCCTGCTTTATGCTGTAACATCTAAAAGTCACTCAGTTTGTTAAAGTTCATATTTACCTTTGAGGTTGGTCAGTAAGCTCCAAGAAACATATATATTTTTAAAGGGTCAGGACACTCTCATTATGATATGCCCGGTACAGGCAAGCATCCTGATTTGTTTTTCTCTGAGCCAGGGAGAGCGAGCTGACCAGTGTCTGCAGTCTCTTCCCTTTCTGTACACACATAGACAGAAGCAGTAGTAAACAACCAACAGCCAAGAGTTGCTAAGGTCAAGGTCTCAAGTGCTATCCAGGACTAGCTTTCTCCAAATGACATTCAGTTACTGAAAAGGAACTTTCTGGAGGAAAAAATATAGTGAGGTTTCATTGACATAGTAACTTTCATTCAATAAAAAGTGATACAAAGTATTCCAAAATAAAGTTGAGCTGAGGGAAGGTTCTTGTAAATATGTATTACTAAGTAATAGATAAATAATTAAAGCACCTCAAACAGAAAATCCTCAAGAATGTTTTGTTTACCTTAGCTATATTAGTTACACCGTTTTGGTCACAAATTATGAAAATTTTACAAGAGAACATTCCAAATTTTACCATCTTAAGCATATTTCATAATAGTTATAAATTAGAAGGCAGAAAAATAAACCTCTTTCCCAAATATAAATTTCAGCCAGTTCTTGGATGCTCAAATTGTTATGTGCTGAAGTCAAAGGAGCTTAATATACTCAAGCTAGTCTCAAGATTGACCATGCCGCAGCAATGAAGACATAACTTATGCAACTGAAATATACGTCCTTCAACATCCTATTTTAAGACTCGACAGTTAAATCTTTCCTAGTCTTAAAGCATATCCCTTTATTGCAAACAGTTTTATAAAATGTAAAAATTATTTCCAATAAAAGCACAGCCAGGGTTTGGGGGGAAGGGAGAGAGGGACAGGGGAAAATCACTATTTTAATTAAATGCCAATTTCAGAGAACATTTATTAGATGATGGTAATATAGCCACTCTTCAAAGTGACCACTCCTATTCTCATCACAAACTACTGGCTGTTAAAAGCCATCAAATTTATTTTAAAGCATTTACTTAACTAAACAACTCTATCCTCCAGTAAGAAAAGGGCATGGAAGCGGCTAGGTGGGTTTGCAGAATGACGTGCATTTGATTGGCAGATGTCTACCGAAGCCACTAGATGCACATGCACTAAATGTAAATAGAGCTGCTCTTCTCCTTGGCGCTACACGGAACCTGAGAGAATATCTAAATCGATTCAAAATAAAATATCCGAATGCTTGGCCGAGAATTCTATTAGCCAGTGGAATTGCTTAAAACAATCCATAGACATGGATACTTAAACCATCTGTACAGTTAAATTAGAGAGCTGACAAATATTAACCAAACAAACTGTTTATCCAGATTACACATTCCGTTGTACTAATATTCTTTAACTCAACACAGTCAGCTTTTATCAACTAAATTAAGGCTATTACTATTAAAGTATGCAAAAAGCGCAGGGTGAAGGGGGCTGGGAAGCTGCAGGGTACATAACAAAGGAATTGGTACTTTTTCCAAGCATTTGCCACAAATGCACTTCTCAGCATAACTGTTGAGTGCACCCCACCCTTTTCTCCAAAGATAAAAGTTTTCAAAGTTCTAATAAGCAGCTCTCCACCCAACAAAAGCAGGACTGATTCTCCCGGGAGGGAAGCAGCTAACGCGAACAGCAACTAATGTCGCGGAGGTCAAGTCCGAGTCTCCGAGCGAGATTCTAAGGCAAGAAGTGGCTCCCCGGCCGGCTCCGCAGGCTTCCCAGCTCGGGTGGACGTGCGAAGTTGCCCCTTGTCAACTCCGGCCGGGTCCCCCGTAATTGAAAATAACAGCCACCGGCCAGCCTCTGGCTACCTCCATGGACCAGGCACTGTAGCAAGTGACAGTTACACATCATTACGACCACAGACAATAATGAATGTAGCACCAGGACCACTATTCATGCCAACAGTGTCATCTCCGCTTAACCCCTTCCCCTCCACTCTCCAGCGCACACCCACAGCCCACAGAGCCCCGGTGCGGCAGTTATTCGCCCGAACTCGCTCTATTCCTGGGGGCAAACTACTTCCACAATCCCCCTCCCTTTCCCCAATTCAGTCCTGGTGTTTTATTTCTCATCTTTGGCGAACTGTCAGGCAAACACTGCAAGCAACAATTCCACTAGGGGTAGAAAAATATTTGCTTAATTCACGTTACTTGGTAGGTTCTTTAAAAAAAAAAAATTGGGGGCGGGGGGGGGGAGAACCTCTTTCTTCTCCACGAATCCGACCGACGCTACTTGCTTTGCAATAGCATCGCCCTCCCTCGGCCCCCTCCCGCTTCCCAACACTTTCCCCCTTTAAGAACACAGACCTACCAAAATGATTTAACTTGAGCAGATGACAGAAGGAAAATAAAACATGTTAAGAGAATACGGTCTGATTTGGGATGGCAGGAGGGAAAAAAGAGGAGGGGGTTGTTTATTTTGATAAGAAACAGAATCGGCACAGACCTGAACAGAAGCTGCAGAGCAGGAGAAATTGTTTTCTTTCCCTCATAGAGTCCCCCTGTCTCTCCCTTTCTCTCTCTCCCTCACACACACGCGCGCGCGCACACACTCACTCTCGCACACACACGGCGTCACCCGCGCACACTCACACGCACACTCGCACACGCACGGGCAGAGCCTCTCAGCTGCTCTCTGCAGTTCTCAGGAAATGAATGGGGGGCAACCCAGGGAACTGTTGTACTTGCAAATGACTTACCCGGATCACATGATGCGCTAAATGTAGGGTGGGCCGGTGGGTGGAGGCTGCCGAGACGCGAGCCCCGGTCTAGCGTGGGGAGCCTCGCCAGGCCCGCATCGAATTACCCCGGGGCCCAGCCGAGGGGGTTGCAAGACGCCGCTTCTCCTCCCTCGCAGCCCGCAGCTCAGGAAACCGGAGAGGCGCGGGGGGTGGGGTGGGGCGGGGTGGGGTGAGGCGGGGAGGTGGGGTGAAAACACCGAACCCCCAAACAAAAGACCTCCGGGTCCTCCTCCCCAGAAACAAAGCCCCGCCGCTGCGGGCGAGCCCCGGGGTGGGGCCGAGGGCGGGGGCGGCTGCGGGGAGGGGCTCGCTCAGCAGGCGCTAAGTCGCTTTATTGCCATAAAATGGGGCCCCCGAGCCGCTCCGCCCGAGGATTAGGAGGCGGGCTCTGAGTGTGATGGTTGAAATCCCCTGTGGGAAACTAACCCCTCCCCGCTCGCAGAGGTAGAAGGCAACACCCACTGCCCAGCCC